AAATAAAAATAAAATGCTTGGCATAGTGTCTGGTGCATATTAAGGGTTCAATAACAGCAGTTGCTATTATGATTATTTAAAATGGGAGCTGTCTCTTCTTGCAGGGATGGTCCAGTTTGAGAACAGGGGAGAGAGGATGTGGCCTTGCAACTAAATGATACGAGAGGAGACGGGAAATCCGCCTGCAATGAGGTTGCCTCGGACACGACTTGTTTGTTCCGACACTAGTGACCTTCCATTGCCAAACAGGGGAGTAACAAGAGGACCCAGGTCCCTCTATCTCCATAGTTGTCTGACCCTTTACCCCAAGTTCCTCGGCCTGAAGACTCCATTTCTTTCTGAAGGAGCAACTTGAGACAACTTCTGGGAAGGAAGGAGGGATGCTGAGCTGTGATTCTGCCTCCACCAGTCACCAGTTATGCAACCTTGGGCTTAACCTCCGAGGGCCTCAGTTTCCTCATCTGCAAAATGGGGGTAATAACAATACCGAGGGTTGTTATGAGAATTAAGCGACTAACTGTAAAGCTCCAAGAACAGTGTCAGGTGCTGTAGATGTGCTTGTTAAACAAATGTTCCGGAGTCTATAGAGTGGGAATGACAAGCCTTCACACTAACACCTCACTGGGGAGGTGCTCAAAGCTGTGCACTCTCTCTGTTTCATCTCACTCTGTCGCAACCAGTGCCCAGAACATGGTAGGAGTCAAGTATCTGCTGAATGACCAAATGGATGTGCAAGGTAAGCCTTAATACATGAAGATTTAGAAAACAAAAATAATGCATATGGGGGTTAGGAACTCCGGATGGAGAGTCATAGACTCGAATTCTGGTTTCACTACTAAGAGGTCGTATGACAATCAGCAAGTGAGCCTGTCACCTTATCTATGAAACGGGATGGATAACAGCATCCGGCTGGTGGGGTTGCTGTGGGAATTAAGAGATGATGTATAAAATGTCCAACGTATGCTAACAGAATTATCCCTCTGGAGGTGGCTGGGGGAACTGAGGTCCAGGTTCAAGTCCTGCCCCAGCTGGCTTGCAGGTGGTGTGAGGGTCCTCCTGGGTCAACTGAGTGCAATGCAGAGATGACAGGCTCAGTCTGAATTCTGGCTCAGCTGCATCCAGCTGTAAGACCTCCCCAGGTCTCCGTTTTCTCATCTGTACCAGAGGACCATAATCCCCACCTCTCTAGGAGGCTGTGCGGGTGAATGAAATTGCACATTCAAGCCACAAAGCTCAGCAAGTGCTCCTCTGCAATGGCTGAACTTGTCATCATCATCCTCGCCCGGGGGCTCTAACTCTGGATGCTCTGGGTGGCCAGGCCTGCTCTGTCCTTCCCTGCATCTACTCCAAGCCTTGTGGAGGTGGGTGGGTGACCTGAGTCAGGGGGGCAGGAAGTAGGGGGTGCAGCAGGGAGCCAGGGCTGCTCTCAGGGACTAAGGGGCCCCGTCTGGCCTCTTGGGTGCGGGAGGCTGGCTGGAGAGGGACGTACCCTAGAAACACCCCTGTGTGAGCGCGGGGACATGAAACACCTGGGCCTAGGAGCAGCACGATCCTCGTGGGGGCTGTGGAGGCCTGAGGGAGGGAGGAGGAGGAGAGGGGAGGAGGGAGGTGCCTCAGGTTCTGGTGCAAAAGGCTAAGGCACTGAGATTTTGTCCTGAAGGCCTTGGGAGCCACAGAGCCTTCTTGAGCAGGAGAGTAATGTGGTCAGCAATGCAAGGGTGTGTCTGCCCCATGCGTAGGATGGACTGGAAGGGACCAGGGAGGAGGCAGTCACAGCTCCGACTGGTTATGTGAGGACAGGGAAGGAGGACCCACACCAGGCAAGGTGGGCATAGCCATCAGAGATGCCCTGGGAGGACAGCCAGGGTGGCTGCTCCATGTTACTTTCATAGGGTGGCCAGAGGCAGTGAATCAGGCTGAGGGTGTAAGGGGGAGGCCCTGAGAGAAAAGCCGTGGTCTTCTAGGGCCAGAAGTCATCTCAGTCTGCACCGGTACCACCAGCTCAGAGAAGCTGAGGCTGTGAGGAAGCAGGAACAGGGACAAGGAGGCCAGGAGAAGAGAGCCCGGCTTGGGAGAGGGAGGGGCACAGCACAGGGGGCCGGGAAGCAGGCAGCCACCCTCCAGGCCTCTGCACGGATCTGCTGTGACAGGCAGACCAGGTATGTGACCTGGGCCTCTGTTTCCTCGCCTTCCCTCCCATTACACATTTCAGAGACAACGGTACTGCAGGAGGCCTTGGGCAGCCCCCCTCCCCGGGGTGGGAGGGAAGCGGGTGCAGGCACCCAAGGAAGAAACCAGGCTCTGGACAGGCGCTTGGAAACTGCCCAAACGTGGAGGACGTGGGTGGTGCGCACATGTGTTTGGTGTTGTGAGGACATGTCCACGTCCACGCCCACACGCACGCGGGCTGCCAGCGCCCAGCCTCAGACCCCTGGGTGTGCGGCCAGGAGGAATGAGGTCAGTCTCGGAGAATCCGCTCTGGACTCCCACAGCAGGCCTGGGGGTCTGATCTCAAGCACAAGGCTTGGCCTTCCCCAAACCGGGATTTTCCATGGTCCCAGCCTAGCAGGGTGGGAAGGGGAACAAGTGATGGGGGAGAAGGTACTGCTCCCTCTCTGGCCTCTCTGTGAGCCCCGATTTAGCCTGAACCGCCCCCCACACACCTTCCCCCCCATGACGAGGGAAGGGGCACTTGGAGGGTGCTGACAGCTTGCGGCAATGCTTGGGCACCTCCTCCTCTCGGAAGTCCTCCCAGGCCCCTCCCCTGGGTCCCCTAACTCATCCCCCCAGCGCCTGCCCGATCACAGCACTGAGGTGCCCCCTTTTCTATTCCTTCCTCAGGGCAGGACCTGGATTCAGCTTGGCATCTAGTATACTGCATTCCGGGGAGAAATGTCTTTAGTCCCAACTGAACACTGGGGCTCAGGGGCAATGGCCAGAGGCCCAGCTAAGCACCAAGCAGCCCCCGCTCCAAACATAGCCTTGCTCTGGCCAGTCCCCCTCTGAACCTTAAGAACTGAGAGGCTAAAGAAGGACCTTAGAAAACCCACTGGCTTGGGGCGTAGATGTCAAGTCCCAGGCCTGGCTCTGCCAGCACTGCTATCTGAGGCCTCAGTTTTCTCCTCTGCCCAGAGGTGGAGCGCTTCTGGCTGAGCCCCACTCTGCGGTCTTGCAGTCTAAGAAAAGCTATCACGAAAGTTTAGCCTATAGGTGAAACATGCCCTCCTCCACGGAGCTCTGGGAGCAGGTGATGCAGAGCTGTAACACACCCTGCTGCAGGGATGCTGCAAGCCCTGGTGAGGATCAGATCCGGGTGAGGCCACGGTGGCAGCAGGATGCATCCTTCATCACATCACAGAAGGGCCTTCCATCTAGCTCCTGTCCTAGCTCCTGCAGGTTCTCAACGTGGGATTCAGCACCCAACTTGAGTGCTACGCCTTGAATGTGAGCGAGTGAGTACTGCCAGTGTGGACACTCCTCTCCCCTAGCCTTGGGCTCCAGCAGCCCCTAGAGAGACGGGGGTCCCCACCCCTGCACCCCAGCGGCAGCCTCTCTCACCCAAGGTCAGTATGGCTGGAGACAAGGAAGCGTCCCTGTGCAGACAGAGGCAGAGGAGCAAAGGCTGGGGGTGCACTACCTGTGCCCCTGAGCCCTGCAGTGCTCAGCCCTCACCTGGTGCGCCTGGCACAGAAACATTGTTGTGGAGCAGAGAGTCAGGAGTAAAGAATCAGGGTATGAATCGCAGCCTGAAAGAGGCAAGGCTGGGGTGGAACGCATATGCATTGGGGACTGAATGGAAACCCCTGACCAAAGCTGACTTTGGACTTGCAGAGACAGAAGCAGGAAGGGGAATTCTAGGACAGCAGGACCAATGGCCGTTCAGCCCTGGCCAGACCACTAGTGGGCCCTTGCCAAGGTAGCCCACCTGCTATCAGCATGTGTGCCGTTGCTCATGCGAAGAAGGAAGGCTGCCCCTCCCACTGAGTCCTCGTGTGTAGATGGCTTGGGCTTTCCCAGGATTAGGTCATACCTTCAACACCCCCTGCACCCCTGTCCACAGCTGCCTCCTGCGACTCTCCCCCAGGGCCAGGACTAGGGTGAACTGAGTGAAGTGACCGAGGCCCTGGCCTGGGGTGCAAAATTTAAGAGGGCGCCTAAAAACTCAGTAGCTAAGAGAAATAACATTACAGGCAATATTTTTAAAAATCAAAATTAACGCCAAAAAAAAATCTGTGATGAACAAAACATCAAAATTTCAAATAAAGACGGTCAGTGCTGCTGCTTTTTCAGTTTGCCTCAGGCTTGAATACAGTTTGGCATATGGCACCATAACTGATTCTATTTAAAATTTTGTTCGTTTTTTTTGCATTATTTTTGATTTAAAAATGCATTAAAATATTACTTATCTCGATTAGTAAGTTTTTTGGTGCCCAGGCTGGTGCCCCACTCGCCTCTGTAGTCTGGGCCTTGCAGTGTGCCTCTGAAGGAACTCTGGGTTATCTAGTCTGCACTCCTGTCAGCCCAGAATCTCTCTTCTAACCTCCTGTTCATTCAGGCCAAGCTCACATATGCCCAATGACCGGGAACTTGCCACACCTCCAGAGGCATCCCCTAAGGCCTTTCTGACCCTGATGCTCCCTGCTTCACCCTGTGAGGCTGGCAGAGTGGCACCTCCAAGCGTGGAGGACATGCCCTGATGGGAATGAGGGAGAGGCGGGGAGGGGGGCTCCTTTACTTTGTCCTCAGATGACCCAAGCCACGTCTGGAAGGCGTCTCTTTCCAAAGCCTGTCCAGTCCCTCCACCCCCTACCCCCCAAGTCAGAGCCCCGGCCTGCCTGGCCAAATCCTGGCACCGATGATGATGCGTGGACAGGGCGAAGGCCGGGAGGTGGGAAACACTGGGGCTGCCTAGGGGGAGGAGGGTGGGGGTCCTCACTTAGCAGCTGGGGGAGGCCTTCGGTAAAGGATGGAGGAGGGCCTGGGCGTCGGGACGTACTCACCTCTACCGTTTTGGCTGGGCCGGTACACGCTGCCCACACTCAGGCGGCCCTGCTGCGCGCCATTGCGCTCCGAACCCGGCGGGGGCGCGTCGGAGCTGCGCACCGGCAGGTAGGGAGGCTCCAGCACGCGGAAGGGGGGCTGCGGCTCCACGGCCCGCGGCGGGCTATAGGCCTCGGGTGGCATGTTGCCGTAGGGCGGGTACCAGCCGAGGCGGGGGGCGCCGCCGTAGGCGC